CCCCAGTACAAGCCTACAAGGCCCCAGCCTAGCTGAAAATGCAACTCGTCACCTTCTGGGACTCTGGCTGGCTGCGCCTGTGCCAGCCCAAAAAGAAAAGAAAGTGCGCCGCTGCCGGTTCCAGAAAGCTTGGCACTGTTGGCACTGTTGGCACCCTGTAAGGCCCCTTCAGCCTCCAGGCCCCTCGTATATACTAGAAAGGAAGAGAGGCCCCTCCAGCCTCCATCTATTGGTGGGGAGCTGCACCTGCTGGACATCTGGTCCAGGGTGACCGTCCCTGTACATACGTAAACTGTGTTTTCTTTTCGTGAAGGAGTCGCCGCACAGCACCTATGGGCCTTGCCGCACGTGCACGGAAGGGGAAAAAAAATGACTTTGTTTCGTGAAGGAGTCGCCGCACAGCACCCACACGACCTCTGTCAGAAAAAAAAGTCGTGAATGCGGTCAGACTCCAAGTTCGCGAGGCCTCATGAGTTTGCCTACTCCTCCCTGCCTGCAGCGCTCACGAACTCGTAGGTCCTCCGCTGGTCGGCTGGAGGAGCTGCGAAATCTCACGAGTGTGCCGCATAACTCCAACCGAGGTCCATCCAAAAAATTGGACCGTAGCGTCCACAAATTTGGACCGTAGTGAAACGAGTCCCGCACTACTCTTTCCAGGGCGTTGTCGCAAGAGTTTTTGTGTGTGCTGTGGGGCGGTGAGCCAAAAAACGAGGAGAAACGGTCTATCAGGGCTTCGCGAGGCCTCGCGACTCTGGTGGTCGTTTCGTTTCGTTAGTTGTGCCTTCCAGCGAGGCCCTATGTATAGTACGGGGGAACACTCCACTGGGCCAGCCCACGGGGGAACACCAACCAAACCTGCAAGTCTCCCCAGCCCAAGGGGTAGGTTGGCAATTTGGCACCACAGCAGTGGTGCGAGACCTGTTGTTTACTGCACAATTTGACTTCCAACAGTGTTTCCAACTTTCCAGTGTGGTTAGCTCCCCTATGTAGTATCCCAGCTGCTATGAAACCAAGAATTTGGCCTCAGAATGCATTGTCACAGTGCCGTTGTGCAGTTACAGTAACTTGTTTTATTTTATTATTATTATTTTTTTTCTCTAGCTCTTTTTTTTTTTTTTTTTTTTGATGGGAACATGTTGAAGCCCCTTAAGGCTTAAACCACACCGCGACGAAAAAATGGAGCCCCAAATGACCCACTTGAATGAATTTGGACTTGGACTGGAGCAGCGGAGCTGCCAGGCCCGTTAGGCCCAGCGTGTTGCCGGCTGCGACTTTCGGACGGAAGTTACTGTACTGGTGATTTAAACCACCAGGGGCTAGGTCCCACTTGCACGAACTAAGAGATACTGGCCGTAGATAGCAAAGATCAATGGCCGAAATCTCTTACTTTTCGCAAGTGGGACCTTGTCCCAGGTCAGGGCCCAGTAAGTAAGCTTGGAGGCCCGGGCCAAGGGGACCAAATTGCTGGGGAAAACTAAAACGAAAAATTTAATGCTGTGCTGGGCCTGCTGGAGGGTGGCCACAGCTTGGCTGGCAGTGAGAGGTGTAGCCCATGCAATGTTTTTTTTTTTTTTTTTTTTTTTTTTAAGATTGGTCCAATCTATTGGTGGGGAGCCTCACCTGCAGCTGGAAAACGGGTCCAGCGTCCCTTTTGCA